GCCGGGCTGAAGCTGGTCATTGGGCGTGGCAGGGCGGCTCGACAGCGCCCCCTGGACTGGGATTCGAACATTTGTCCATAAATCAAACACACTTGCGTGAATTAATATGAAACTCGGTACAATTATAGATCACATCAGGCCAAACAACTTTCGTGCTCTAAGTTTTACGACAATTCAAATGGAAGTTGGGAATTATGGGTTGTTTGAATAGTTGTCCTAGGAGAAATACATCAAATTACAACGCATGTGTTTACCAATCACAACCAAACTCGGTGTGCATGAAGTCAAGACTTTGAGGATGCTCAATTCCGGACGGATTTTTGATATCTCGAACGGTCTGGCCGTGGCGAGAAAATGAATTTTATGACTAAAAAAGGACACATAAAGTGTGTTATAACTTTGCTCATTTTACCTACAGTTACAAAACTTGCCACATATATTGTTCTCGTCAAGCCGATCAACTTTCCAATTTAAAGTCATTCGCTCTGAGCAACAGAACGTCAGATATTGTAGTTTGAATGGATTTATTTCCCCTGCGATTTTCTCTCTCTCTCTTTCTCTCTCTCTCTCTCTCTCTCTCTCTCTCTCTCTCTGTGTGTGTGGGTGTGTGTGTCTGTGTGGGGAGGGGAGGGCTGTTGTCTGTGTTTATGTGTGTGTGTGTGTGTGTGGCTGACTGCGATTTTTCCTACAAGTCCTTGTCTCTAAGTCCTTGTCTTTTTGCATAACTGTAAAAAGGGCCACGAAATCGACCCAAATTGAGGAATTCGATTCGTGGTGAAGGTTTCAAGCGCGTTCCGTCTTTTCCAAGCAAAGTGTTTTTTAATTAAATGCAACACATTTAATCTTATGTATTAACTCGTTTCATCTGACTCCATAAAATGAAAAGGGTTTATCAATGATATCTGTGCATCATTAAATATGTTAATGCTTGACTATTACTTTTAACTTAATGAAAATAAGGTCAAAGTCTGTTAGAATAGCCAAATATAACAATTTATTATGTCAGGTAAATGTATAGAATTCCACAAGATAATCAGAGCAAACCATCAAATGTTTTAGAACAAAGAACTTTACCCAACATATTACATGAGCTGAGTCTTGAAGACACAACATCACGGGCTGATCTGAATACAGAAAGGCAGCCTCGAACTCTCCCGCTGCACCCTTTAAATAGCCAGACCTATACCTGATATGTTAATCTCCAGGTTTCAATGGAAAGTTACTGAATCCCCCTACCATGTTTATCGGGGGCAGACCATTTGCTTGGTTGTAATTTGCATTCAGACAACAAGGCAGAAGGTGTTAACTCAAAGACCACACTCCTTTGTGTGACTGTGATTCCTAAACTTCTTAAAAACCTTATTACCTTTTCTTTTATTACTTTGGGAATGAGACATTATTACCAGTCACCCTGAGACCATCAAAATGATTCTAAACAACCCTTAAAGATTATCAGATTCACAATAAAACCATATTCTTGTGTGAGTTTTCAGTATCATTGACTGAGAGAGTGAAAGAGAGAAGATGCAGATAAGATGTTCAGAGAATAGGGGGTAGGGTGTCAAATGTTAATTTGCAAGCAATGCCTTTTGTCTTTAGAGGCCACTGGTCAGATATTTTCTCTTTAACCAGTTTTTCCAGTCTTACATAACAATTTTGTATTTTTTTAAAATGACAAAATAGGCATATAACCCCCATCTTTTAAATGTATAGTGTGCTTTAAATAAAAGTAAGATTGTATTTGTAATTGAAGCTGAATGAATTTAAAATTCATGTGCTACATTTCAATATATTTGTTTTCCTTAAGATTTTAAAACACTAACTTCATTCTTATCTGAATTACAAATATTTGTTTCTGTATAAAATAATACTCTGACTAAAAACACATTTGATTTTTCTTTTTGCATTGTTATTTACACGTATTTATGTATGTGTGTGTGTGTGTGTGTGTAAATATATAAAGTGTGGGTTTTTTTTAGATAAAGTAGAATTTCTATAACTATGTGTTGAACTAATAAATCACTCTTGTGTGTGTTAAACACAATCTACTTAATACAGACAACTTCGTAATAAAGATAAATAACAAATCCAAAAAATATATGATCATAATCTATGACAAAAAAAGCCATTACAAACTATATTAGTGGAAAATACACATTGCTCTTTGTATTGTTGTAAAATACATTCATGAAAAACAAGATAACAAAAATCAAAAAGATACATTATTTTAGATATAGCCATGGCTGCTATAAAATTGATATATGTTTTAAATGTATAGCAGAGATGTTAAATGAGGCAGCAACATACAAACTTTCTAGAACAACATGGACCTGAATAGCTGGTTTTTATGGAGGACAGTGAAGAGGAAGAGGGTGCAAATCAAACAGCTCATTCTCAGACTACACAGCAAACAGCTTAAGTTTTTAGTGCTTTGTTTGAGGTTTTTAGTGCTCTGCCCTATCTATTATCTACATATAATAGATAGAACAGAACAAGAAAGGCAATTAATAATCTGTCATTGCGTCACTGCATTATGATATGAAAGGCTCAGTACAGTGTGGCACAAAACGCTTATGCGCATCCAGAGTGGAGAATGATGCGCTTAAAGCCACATGGAGTTACAGCGCACAGCGCATCGAGTCCGCATTGATGCAAGCTCTACAATACACTTCTTTTCGACAGTCAAAGCGGGGGTTACGTTTTTACACGTCGTACAGAATAACCCTAAAGGCACCAAGGTGGCGGTGCCACCGGCTTTATATTAAATATAAACATAGCTGTGAGCAGCGATAAAGGGCCAAAGGTAACTAAAGGCATCGGGGTTGCGGTGCCACCGGCTTGGGCCCGCAATCGCTGCTCGCAGCTATATTTTATTCTTTTATTTATTATGTTCTTTTTATTCTTTTATAATACATTTATACTACTATAATATTTTTTTACAGTAAATAAATAAATGGCACTTCAGCTGGGTCTATCCTGGTAATCTAGTTCCTCATCTGTCAAAAAGCTCTGTTCTCCTGAAAATCCATCATCCTGCAATGCACCAAAATAGACCAGCGCTTTATTTACGTCCATTTCCCTGTGTTTCTCTGTGAATCGCGCGTCTCTGTGCGTCTCTATCTCTCTCCACTATATCAGCGCTTGGTTCATGCGTAATGACGCACACCAATGTTTACGACGGATCAGTCTGTAATTGGTCAAAAACCATCACGTGAAAACATCACGTGATATCCAGAATGGCCGCTAGCGTCGAGCTAGCGGCAAAAATGACTGAATATTTATGAATTATGGACTTCAAGATTATCAAAGTTTGACATAAAGCGTTTGGATTTATTGCTGAAAACCTCTGAAAGGAAGCACAAGTTCCAGGCTGGATAGAAAACCTTCTGTAAATGCTAGAAAGACCCAAAAGACACCCCTGTGATGGCTAGCTCGTTAGCTTTCTGCTGGAAAAAACGGTAAGAAAATCGATAAATCTGTCTTCGAGTTATGTAAACATTTATCGGAGGTGATGTGTGGCATCGTCGACGATGCCGTCGTGCTCAGGGGGTTAAGACATGAGACTCTCATCACGGTGCAATGAACGTGCATCACTCTTTTACTTTAATTTAAAAAAAATATATTATTTTCAGAGAAAACCAATCAAGGAAAATATATCAGGGCTTGACATTAACACTGGTCCTGGGACACGTGTGTTTTTTTGAAGAGACAAGTGTAAGAGAATTGTACTTGCCCAACTTGACAAATGTCCTGATTAAAACAATTTTGAATGTAAAACAAATAAAATAAAAAATAACTAGGGAATCAGAGAAAATGAGAGGATGATTCTGATTTTTTTTTTCATTTAATGTAAGTTGCGATTGATAGCCTAGTTGATAATGTAAGACCTGCTAAATCGATCCAATGGCGGTATTCGATTAGAGGTGAAGGTCTCACGCGTGTTCCGTCTTTCCCATGGCAAAGGGATTTTTAATTAAATGCAGTATATTTTATCTTATGTATTAACTTGTTTCATCTGACTCCATAAATGAAACGGTTTTTCAATGATATCTGTGCATCATTAAATATACGTTAATGTTTGACTATTCATTTTAACTCTAATGAAAATAAAGTCAAAGTCTGTTAGAATAATCAAATATAACAATTTATTATGTCAAGTAAATGTATTATTACAATTCCATAATCAATTGGAAGATAATCAGTGCAAACCATCAAATTTTCTAGAACAAAGAGGAAAATCCTTTAGCCGACATTATGAACTATATGAACGCTGAGTCTCAGCGACACAGCATTCACAAGCTAATCTGATACAGAAAAAACATCCCTGAGCTCTCGTTGCATTTTCCTTATATAGCCAGATGTTATTTGATATGTAAAACATGAGTTTAGTGGAAATTTACTGTATTCCCCCTCCATACTTACGGGGGATAGAAGTTTGACCAATTGCTAGGAACAGTGGAAATTAGCATTCAGACAAATGATCAGAAGGTGTTAACTCAAAGACACACCCTTCTGTGTGCAAGATATTTCTATATTTTTAAGAACTTTATTACCTTTTGCTTTACTTCTTTGGGAGTGAGACATTTGTACCAATTACCATGAGACCTTTATAATGATACTAAATACAATCCTTAAATATAATCATTCAAGTTTAGTTTTCTCAACTCTGCTGTACCGAACCATGACTTCTAAACCGTCAGTCAAATACACTGTTATTTTATATTTGATTACTTTATTACATTTCTGTACCTGAAAACTAATGTTAGGCCTAATCGAAAAACCTGAAAAGCACTGTTCATTTTATTCTTATTTTCTTTATTTTTATTTGACTGTATTTGACTGTATCGATTATTCCAGTAGTCCACAGCATATACCAAAACCGTCAATCTAAAACCGTGATACGAACCAAACCGTTACACCCCTAATGCATACAGTGCCATAAAAACAGTCTGTATTAATATTGTTTTTGTAATGATTTGTTTCTCATTTCTCCCGTTTAGGTTGGCACACTGTAAGCTCACCTGTAAGTGCTATGAAACCGTGTCTTCAGTTCTACAGTCTTCAAACTCCTCCCTGAGAGAGCTGGACCTGAGTAACAATGACCTGCAGGATTCAGGAGTGAAGCTGCTCTGTGCCGGACTGAAGAGTCTAAACTGTCAACTCAACATACTGAGGTACTTACAAGGACATATCTTGGCAAACCTATTCTGAAATGCTTTATTTATCACATCAATTTATACTGCAAATGCCATAGTGCATATGTAATTAAAGGCCTTTCTGTGTGGAGTTTGCATTTTCTCTCTGTGTTGGTGTGGGTTTCCTCTTTGCACTCAGGTTTTCTCCACAATCCAATAAGTGAATTGGAGAGACTAAATTGTCCATAGGTGTGAATATATGTGTGTCTTTGTGTAAGCCCTGTGGTGAACTGGCCATTTGTCCAGGGTGTCCCTTGTTTGTGGCCTGAGATGGTCCCCATCAAACCTAACAGAGCATTAGTGGACCTGCAAAGGAGAATGGGAGAAAATACACAAATCCAGATGTGCAAATCTTGTGGCATCATACCCCAAAAAGACTTTAAACTCTAATCCGCTCCAGATTATGTGCTTTAAATAAGTACTGAGTTAAGGTTTTGTGTACATAAGCAAAGTAAATATATCAGTATCACAAATCATTTTTTTTGCTTTTTCCTTTTGTCATATAGTGCAAATTGATGTAAAAAAATACTTAACACTACAGGCAGCATAAGGTTGCAACATGACATAAAAATGCATACAGTACCATAAAATAAACAGTCTGTATTAATAATATTATTTTTGTAATGATTTGTTTCTCATTTCTCTCATTTAGGTTGGCACACTGTAAGCTCACCAATCAGTGCTGTGAAACTGTGTCTTCAGTTCTACAGTCTTCAAACTCCTCGCTGAGAGAGCTGGACCTGAGTAACAATGACCTGCTGGATTCAGGAGTGAAGCTGCTCTGTGCCGTACTGAAGAGTCTAAACTGTCAACTCAACATACTGAGGTACTTACAAGGACATATCTTGGCAAACCTATTCTGAAATGCTTTATTTTTCACATCAATTTATACTGGAAATGCCATAGTGCATATGTAATTAAATGCCTTTCTGTGTGGAGTTTGCATTTTCTCTCTGTGTTGGTGTGGGTTTCCTCTTTGCACTCAGGTTTTCTCCACAATCCAATAAGTGAATTGGAGAGACTAAATTGTCCATAGGTGTGAATATATGTGTGTCTTTGTGTAAGCCCTGTGGTGAACTGGCCATTTGTCCAGGGTGTCCCTTGTTTGTGGCCTGAGATGGTCCCCATCAAACCTGACAGAGCATTAGAGGACCTGCAAAGAAGAATGGGAGAAAATCAACAAATCCAGATGTGCAAATCTTGTGGCATCATATCCAAAAATGACTTTAAACTGCAATCTGCTCCAGATTATGTGCTTTAAATAAGTACTGAGTTAAGGCTTTGTGTACATAAGCAAAGTAAATATCAGTATCACAAATCTTTTTTTTTTTGCTTTTTCCTTTGTTATATAGTGCAAATTGATGTAAAAAAAATACTTAACACTACAGCCACCATAAGGTTGCAACATGACATAAAAATGCATACAGTACCATAAAATAAACAGTCTGTATTAATAATATTGTTTTTGTAATGATTTGTTTCTCATTTCTCTCATTTAGGTTGGCACACTGTAAGCTCACCAATCAGTGCTGTGAAACCGTGTCTTCAGTTCTACATTCTTCAAACTCCTCCCTGAGAGGGCTGGACCTGAGTAACAATGACCTGCAGGATTCAGGAGTGAAGCTGCTCTGTGCCGGACTGAAGAGTCTAAACTGTCAACTCAACATACTGAGGTACTTGAGGCTCTATGAAAAATAACCACACAAGGACATATCGTGGCAAACTTATTCTGAAATGCTTTATTTTTTCACATCAATTTATACTGCAAATGCCATAGTGCATATGTAAATAATGCCTTTCTGAATGGAGTTTACATTTTCTCTCTGTGTTGGTTAGACATGTGCCGGCATTCGGTAATGCAATAAATCGCAGTAATGAATATGCACGATATTGTTATTGCGGGCTCTTCAAAATACCGTGAAAAATAATAGATTCGAATTTAGACTTTTAGAGCGCGCATTAGCTGCTTATTTTCCTTCAATCGCTCAAACACTGCGTGCTGTGCAAAACACGCGCGCACTCTGATGTAAACAATCCCTACATGTATAAGCACTGTGTGCATGCGGCAGTGCGCACTAGTCTAATGTAAACAATCCTCACATGGAGTAGAAGCATGGCGGAACGCTCCCGACGATTTATCCCCGCAGGGCTGCCAACTCACACACATTCCGCTTGAGACTCAAGCTTGAGACTTTCAGACAGGACGCGGAACACGCGCTCGACGCGCAGGGATGTTTGTTGCTCCGTCGACCTCGACCACGCCGTGGTTAAAGTTCAAAATAGTTAAACTTTTTATTTCTAAAATGCTAAATCGCGTTGTATCTGAAGGGCAACGTTGAACCAAGCGGCCAGTGTCGCGCATTCCGCGTCCTGTCTAAAAGACGATAACGCATTTGGCACTTTTCACACGCTCTCCCACAGAGAAAAATCACAGAGCAAAGAGGACACTGACACCGACAGACTTGACAGAGCAGGTTACTTTTGATATGAAAGTTGTTATTGATAAATCAGCTCTTAGGTTCTGATCACAGATCGTTGCTCCTCAGTTCAAGTAAACCGATCATGTTACTTTAGTTTTTATTTAAAGAGACAGTACAACTTACCGAAAGGTATTTACTTGTACATAATAACGATCAATCAGCGATTTCAAACACGGAAAGAGGTCAGTAAAACTGCAGGAGAACAGTTGTGTCACAAAACGTTTCATTTACCTCAGGAAAGCCATTTAATGACCAGAACATTAGTTGACTAGAAAAAAATAGCAAGGAGTATTTTGCTAAATATTATATTTAATTTTTCTCTGTATGTTTACAGCATTATGTGAGAGATTTTTTTTTTCTTGAGAAACATTAACAGACTGGGGCCTACCTAATATTTATCCAAATGAGTCAATATTGAATTGATATTGAATATTGAGACTGAAATCAAATCCAAGAATTTAATTGAATAATACAAACAGTAACCTACCAGTCATTGTCCCATGTAAACATTGTAACATGTTGTCACTAAACTTTAAACAATTTGGTTTAGTTACCATATGTTTTGAAAAATCACAATTATATATTGTGATGCTAGTTGAGGTTTTTTTAGAGACCCACAATGCATCTGTTTTTCTTGAGCATTAAAATATAATTTCATTAAAATATCGTGATAATACCGTATACCGTGATAAAAGCTCAATCAATTAACCGCAGCATGAAAATTTGATACCGGCACATGCCTAGTGTTGGTGTGGGTTTCCTCCTTGCACTCAGGTTTTCTCCACAATCCAATAAAGCCCCTTTTCCACCAAAGCATTTTGAGAGCCAGTTCGGAGCCGGTGCCTGCGCGCGAACCAATTCTTTTTGTTTTGACAGCCAAAGAACCGGTTCGCGGCCGGGAAAACCGGTTCCAAAGCGGCACCAACTCTTTGCTGGATTCTAGTCCAGCAAAGAGTTGGTGCCGCTTTGGAACCAGTTCTTTTAGTACGTCATGTTTACGTCGGGGGCTGGGGCGGGTTTAGATGTGCTCTAAACATCTTTTCTGACCATCGCAAAGCCAGGAGAAACTGCAGAAACACGCAAGCATTTTTATTTATTTATTTATTTTTTATTTGAAACATAAGCGAAGAAGAAAACTGTTAAGATATAGAACAAATAAATGGAAAGAAAAAAGACACAAGACAAGGGTACATAACTTATCAGAAAAGACAACATATCAAACAAAAAGATTAAAAGACTTACATATTTCAATTGTTTTTAAAGTTTTCTTGGTACACGAGTTAGAGATAATCCCAAAGCAATGTACTTGCAAGTGTTTCTAGCGACGTGCACAGTGTCGTAATGACGTCGTTCCCTGGGTGCTCTAGTCAGTGGAAAAACAAACAGGTTCTGAACGGGTTCGCAAGTTGAACCAACTCCGAACCAACTTTGAACCAGCACCAGTTCCGAACCAGTTCTTTTTTCGGTGGAAAATGGGTATAAGTGAATTAGAGAGACTAAATTGTACATAGGTGTGAATATATCGTCGCTGCCCGATGAAACTCACGTATGTCCAAAACGGTTACTTATCAGGAAGTGAAAAAAACACGTAATTTCAAAAGCAGCTGAACGTAGCGTTGTCATGGACATACGTGCATATTGTACAGTAACGGTGATCGATGCGCGTTCTTCCGATCATTAATTAGAATGACCAAAGATCACGTTTCATATTGACAGATGAGTAGGCTACGCCCAGTTTATCAAATACGCTCAGTTTATTAAATGTCTCTTGCAAACTATGAAGAGACAATGAATCAATGCACTGACATGGCGATGCTAGACTGATACTTTGTTTACACAATCCTACTGTCATTTTGTCACTCCTCTCCACTATGTCTGGCATCAGGGGGGAAACTTTTAACTCGATAAAGTTAGGCCTACTGTAAAGGAAAGTCTTGAACAGTTGTCAAAAACAAATGTTTGATAATACTTTACCTCACAGTGTTATTCGGCAATCTAATGCTGAGCTTTCAGCTTTCAGACCCCATTTACACCTGGTATTAAAATGAGATCTGTATCCAGATAAGTTATCCGGATAATAAGTGTTCTGACCGATTCCATTTACACCTGGCCACATAAATGTGTTTTTGCAGAACGGATATAATATAAATCTGATCTTCAGCTCCCGCGTTATATGCAGACAGGCCCGGTTCTAGAACCAAATCACTGAGGGTGCTTTTGAAAATAGTGAGGGTGCTCAAATGTTAAACAATATGCGATATCCATGATCGAGTAGCCTATGCCCCTGTATGAGTTTTTATCCTTTACATATCATTTCATAGTTAAGAAATTACACATAGTGCTTTATCCCCAAAAAACAGCAGTAGACTATATACAAATGTGTGAATTATTGAAACTGATTTTATTCTGCAGTTGAATAAATAAGTTAATATAAGTAACATACATTTTAGACATTTAGGTTCTGACGACAATGAATCAGTCCTTTTAAACGAAACAGCTGATTTAAAGATTAAATGCTGGTCACTCGATGTCGATCCCCACCAGATTTCGTCATGAGTAATTTTGTACCCACCACTTTTGGAAATATTGAGGAACAGATTTACCTACTACAGATAAAACATCTCCAGTTAACTAGCAGAGCATTCATTTAGTTCGCTCTTAATTAAGAGATCTAGCTAGTGGTTAAATTTGATGTTTTTGACATCAAGCTGAGCACTATTTGCCACTGCGGTCAGTTTCATGGGCACAGTTCTCTTGTGTCTCGCGCAATCTTCACTCGGATGCGCACTGCGAGCACTTCAATCTACCGCCTTTGCAGAGACTCTCTATTCATTCCGATTTATATAGACATTTATTGGCTATCTAAAGGCTATTAGCCCCGTCACTAACGAATTTCCTGAGCGGGACGCACACACGCAAACAAAGTGGGCAATTAAAGAGACAGCTTCACCTATGCGTATTACAATCGCGAAAGGACAACCAATTTAATGCATTAAACATAATATGAAATACTGAAGTAAATTCTGATGTGAAATCGGAATGGCGTTAATGGATTTAGTTTGTGTAACCTATTATTTGTGTAACCTATTATTTGGGTGTGAAATCCGTCTGTGTTTCTTTTGTCGGCAAAATCTCGTTTACATGTGTGCTAATAAAAAATTAATCTGAGGGTGCTTTCACTTTTGTTTGAGGGTGCTTAGCACCCTCAAGCACCCCCATAGAACCGGGCCTGTATGCAGATTTAATGGATTGCATGCCACCAAAAGCAACAGATATGAGCTGAATTTTATTGATCAATTTCAAAAACAAAGACATCAATAAGAGAGTGGCAACAGCCCTGGTAAGATCATTTCATTTCTTTAATTGAAGATGATTGTGTGTTAATGATTCTGTGACTTACTTTCACTTTTATTTGCGATGTTTGCTAGCCTGACTACGTCAGACTTCCTACTTCCGCTAATTTCATTTCGCTCCTGTAGTCAGTCTGTGTCACAGTCTTCGTCTGCACCATCCTGTCTGCGTCTCCAGCACTACACTTCCCAGGATCCTCTTGTCTCCACACCTGAACTCACTCCCTCATCAGCCTCCCGTTCAGCGTCCTGTATTCATCTGTTTCACCTGTTTTCACCTCGTTTAGTTTGATTCCTGTGTGTATTTAGTTCCTTCCCATTCAGTCTGTCCTTGTCGGTCGATGTGAATGTCACCCTGTGTTTCGCCTGCCTGTTTCCTGTTAATTTGAGAATAAACCTTTTGTATTGGAGCTTTTCTGGACTCTGCCTGTTCGTCCTTCTGCCTGAACCCGCACCCGTGACAGTCTGAGATAGCGGCCTATCTTTCAGTTTTCCACTGGCCTGAAAACAGCCGGCCAATCAACGAAAAGAGGGCGGGCTGAGAGCCGTGACGTAGGCGCTAAGCGCCGAGTTTACATTGTAGGTTAGAGCAATCGAAAACCGAAACGACCGCAGAAATGGGAAACAAGACACGGGATGCAATTCGCTCTGTTATGGAGAACATTCTGGGGTTTTTCAA